CGAAAAGTTTTTCGGGGGTATTTGGGTCAATTTATATTTTCGGATTTTTTTTTTTTAGATATACTTTCTACCTTGTATTTTCAAGTTTTTCTTTTTTGTGATTGTTATTTATTTATTTCATTTTTGGATAATTCAAAGGGGATGACGAGCTGCTACCCATTTTTTGAAATCGTTAGCGGTTTTTAGTATAAGGAGGTTGTAATCACTCTTAGCCATTGGATGTAAAATCTGACAGATTGAAGTATATGACAATGTTTGAGAAATTTTATTTTGGACCTTTGTGTCCAATTGATGACACATCCCTAACCACCTGATTTCATATCTAACAATCAATAGTAAGTGTGATACCATCCACGAGGTAGGATGTGTAACTAGTTCCATGCAAAACTCACGAGATTTGTTCAATGAAGCAGTATTTGTGTGTGTGTGCATGCGTGCGTGGATGTATTATTGGAGCTACAAGACATGATCAATGAAGAAGGGAAAAACAAGAAATGGTGTTTGATGTGGTGAGTTTTGCTTTAGGACGTAAGGTGGATGGAGTTGTCACTGACTCAACCACCGTTGTGCAGTCCTTTTTCAATTTTCTCGTTCTGGTACACTATTTGTCACTTACATATAGAAATAAAGTGAGAATAGTTGGCCATTTGTGGTTTATGCATAAAAAATTAGTGTGAAATTATCCTATTCTGTGAGCAGGGCACTTTTATATGCGTGTTGTGTTAGAGAGAGATTGGCCATTTGTGGTTTATGCATCAATATTTGAATTTGTGATTGGCCATTTGTGGTTTATGCATCAATATTTGGATTTGTTAACTATTTATTCCTTTGTTATCGACTGTTTCTGTATGCTCTCTATTTTGGTAATTGAATGGGAGTCTTTATGCTGATGTCGTTTGGGATGATAGTAGAGTGCATTTAGTTGGTAATCTGTAGATATTAAGTATTCATGTTCAACAAATGTAGGACAATATAGAAAGGAAACATAAGGAAACCTTCTTCTAAACTGATCCTAAGTTCCTAACTTGATGGTTTTGATAATATCTCTTTTGTTTTATAAATTGTTACAGGTACAACTTGCAAATCAGAATCAGCTGGTGGACCATTATGCCTCAAAACATCCTAAAGAGAAGCCTCCAAGCGATTCAGGGTAAATAAATTAGAGGCTCGTTTACTCTTATAAACAAATGCAATTGTGTGTGATTGATAATAGAAGAAATAAATGCATGGTGTACTGGAGCTGGTTTTCTTTTTAGAAGTCCTAAATACTTGTAGTCACTGCTCCCTTTATGTTCCGTTGTTCATTATCCCGAGTGAATTAGTTTTCTTGAAAAGAAGTGTTTGAAACAAGAAAAATTCATCGTGATCTCTCTCTCTCTCTGTTTTACACCTTGGCCAAGTTACTCAGCCTCAGCATGGTGCCGAGGCGAGCACTAGTAGACAAGCTCAGGTATATGGCACCTACACTGTGTGCGTAGGTGAGTGCTGTAGTGACTCGTCTGAGTACTGTACAATTCAAGCAAACTTGTGCAAGTTCTTACTTGTCGGGCGATTCCTACAGTACTTTCAGAGTACTATACATGCATAAACAAAAGGGGGGTGGAAATCTGGCGCCCCTTACAGCTACCGATCAGAAGAGGAAAAACTATAGATTTCTTGCACTTTGTAGGCCGAAGTTTGGACAATTTATCAAAGGAAAAGTAACCCGTCCACATCATGTGGATGGGTGGACAAGCACCCTTGGTTGAGATTTCAAAAGGACATATCTAATGGCTAAAAATTAATATCATATTTTATGTTTATTCAAATAATATATTTCTCTTAATTTTGGGGTATAGGTTTATTTTTATAAATAGAACTAAATAAAAATAATTTAAATTATTTTAAATAAAAAATAACTAAAATATCCATAACTTTATTTTGATTAATATTTTTATTCAAAATATTATTTATTATTTATATTTCATTTCTATTTATAAAAGTAGAACTAAAGTTTCAAACTAAAATTGGATAGAAGCTCTATTGGTAACCCTGGATTCAAAGGGGCTTATTCGAGACCCCAATGAATGTGTAATAAAGACTTATTTAGTACTTGTGGTAATGCAACGGTAAACGAGGCAGAATGTATGAGGGAGAATGTAGGGGTTTGCTTGAAATAGGTACTTGTGGTAATGCAACGGTAGAAGAGGCAGAATCTATGAAGGAGAATGTAGGGGTTTTCTTGAAATCTCAGGAATGGATCGGCATAAAAGGTGACTTTGAGTGGCCTAGATAGGAGATGAAACCACCATGGCAACTGAGGATTGAGTAGTGGCCTAGATGGGAGATCAAACGCAACTGAGGATTGTGTTTGATGAAATTCATTCCCTTTTACTTTCTTGCTCGTTTGACCTTTCATATTGTTACAGAGAGGGTTACTCTGAGGGTGACCTCCTCTAGCTAAGGGTGTTGTTCACTAATTTGATGATTACATCCTTTGATATAATTGTACTTTCTTTGTATTGTTTTTTTTATATTCGCAATGAATCTCGTGGTTAAAAAAATAAAAATAAGAAGCAACCTAGAGATCTCTTTCTCACCAAAAATAAGAGAAATTCTCTCTCTAAAAAAAACAGGATTATTAACCATGGATAATTGAATTAAACCACCATCATCGAGACTCATGAAAAAATGTAAAATTTTATGATGGCTGTCTATCTAGATAACTGAATCAAATCATGATATAAAAATTTGTTCATGTCCATCAGGACTCATGCAGTTTCACCTACACAATCACATAAAATACTTAGCCCAAAGACATCCATTGAGCGTGAGCAACTGAGTTAAAAAATATAAAAGAAGAAAAAAGTTAAAATAAGGTCTAGACATTATGGAAAAAAGGTAAAGTTGTATATCAAATTTCACCGGAAAAAAAGTACAGTTGTCTCAAATGTCACCACAATTTGTAGTTCGAGAGTAAAAAAAACTTATAAATTGGTCATCCGACTTTGACTAATATGGACGTGAACCATGTATTTGACGTCCTAAAAATAGTGTATATCGTATCACATTATCTAAATCGTCTATTTTTAAGTTTTCAAAGATCCTCGAGATAAGTACCATTTTTCAAGTTACAAACTTATAATTAGTAATGAAAATAGATTTTAGAGCCATAATAGAGCTTTCCGGTATCTGAAGTATTTTTTCTTGAGAAAATTTTGAGGTGAGGCTATACCTTTTTTCACCCCAGGCCTCATAGAAACCGCATTCTAAAAAAAAAAAGCTGGATAGTTAATAGGTTTGGAAGAAGTCACGCGCTCACAAACATGATGAACCTCCACAACTAAAGAGTCCTATCCAAATGGATAGGAAAATATTTTAATAAAAATGTTTAAAATTTTTATTTTATTATATTTTATTTTTCATATTCATAATCATCATAGTGTAGATCATGGATCACTACAAATTTGGATCCAAGATCGATACAAATAATGGGTGTTCAAGGGAGCCTGCATGAAAATAGTATGAGTTGGGGACTCATAAAAACTCGGTCCAAAAGTAAATTAACCGATAATGATATCCAAGAATCTAATCAGGTCTGTAAAGCTGATCAGCCCAAAAAAAACTGAAAATTCCAAAATGGTTATGAAAACCATATGATACACAATCGAAATCGTGATGCAGGAAAAATATTGAGAAAAATGCCTAAAAATTCAAAATTAAACAACAATGAGGTAGTCATTTTTTCTGTAGAAATAGGTTGATTTTGAGAATTTAAAGAACGAAAACCCGTAAATTAAGACATAGAAGAGTAAAAGGCCAAAGTAGTGATGATATGAGGCTCTGGATACCATGGGAAGGAAGATGGACACGATTGTTGCAGCTTCTTGCTTCTCAGCACTCTCTTTTTCTCCTCTCCCCTCAAATGCAACACCCATTAATGGCCCCCAGTATGCACCAAATGATATTAATACTCCTTGCTCGCGCTGACCATAACACAATTCCATGGATTTCAAAGTTCTGGATTTTGCTTTCGTTTCAGCCAGTTTTGGGGACCGCAAATTTGATAAGGGACCCGAGTTCATGTGCTTAAAAGCTAATAATATATGCCGAACCACTTATAAACCTATGAGGATGGCTTTTGAATGCCACATTGTGCAGGAACAAACTCATGCTTAGTATATAGAGGATATATGTAGTGGTAGAGTTGATACAAAAATAGAAAAAATTATTAAATGAAAATTTCAAAGTTATGTTTCTCTTCTGCTCTCTTATCACAGTGTTCCAACTTCATCTCTGTATAGATTTGTGCTGGGTGAGTTTTGTACAAACATATAAAAGATGAAAAGCAAAAACCACCAGATACATAAATTGTAGACCAGAAGACACTCTCACATGGGATTATTACTCTTCAAACTCGACGATATATCTATCTTGAAGTAAAATAAGAGAATTTTCAGAAATGGAGCTGAACCAGAACGGAGAGAATTTACACTTAACTCCAAAGCTCCCATTTCACGACTGTAAAGATGAGCTTCATTCGGCTGTAGAGAATGATATGCAGCACCCCTCCAAATGCATCTTTCTACCAAAACAGTACCAAGGAGGCAAGTGAAAGACCAGTCTTCATCACACACTCACAAGCAAGCAAAAGACCCATCTTCATCACACAGTCAAAGTCCATCATGGATGAGCTTGTTCAACAAGGTTGTGAGCAATTGATCTCTCTTCTCTGCACGGCTCTCCTCTCTCATCCTCCTCTGCTCCTCTCTTTCTCTATATGACTGCTCGAGCATCAGCCTCTCTCTCTCCAGCTTCTCCATCGACTGTCTCCACTCTTGTTCAAACATCCTCCTCTCTTGAGCTCTCCTCTCAGCCATCTCTCTCCATTGCATCTCCATCCTCTGTTGTTGCTGAAAAAATTCTTGGAGGACTTCATTGATACCATTAGCTCGAGATTTATCTGCGCCCACTTTGTTTCTGTCTCTCTCTAACTTGCGCTTCTTGCCCTTTGTTGCTGTTCTATCATCTTCGCTCTCTTCTTCATCATCTTCCTCATCATCTGTGAATTCATCAGAGGATCGTTCAGGGAGTGGCCTCTTCATCTTGTTCTTGGAGGCTGAGCCTCCAAGCTCTGATTCTAAGAGCATGCGGTTTAGGCTTTTTGAGCGTTCAGTGAAGATGGCCTGAAGCTCTTCGTAGAAGGGGCACTGCCTGCCACTCTCAGGATCAGATGTCTCCTTCCCCTGCCACGGCAAGGACTTCTAAGAGAGAAAAAACAACAAAATACTCTCTCTCTCAGAATGAAATACAACAAAACGTACTTTCTTTCGACCATGGCAAAGGGCTTTTAAGAATGAAAACACGACAAGTTTCTCTATTTACCAAGGCTAAGGACTCTTTAAGAATGAACCATGACAAACTAGTCTCTCTTATTTGGGTCTGTCTAGGAAGCATGAATGTGATGTAGGGGTGGAAATGGGCTAGGTGGCCGGGTCCGCCACCCTGGCCCTAAAAAACTAGTGCCTCCAGCCACATTCGGCTGAAAAATTTACGGTGGGTCCAAGGACTCATGAGTCCATCCTAGTTTTCCAAAGGTTTTACTACAAATGTAGTAATGCCTTACATCCATTTGTTTTCAGCTCTAAAAATAGGGCGGATGTGAAGAATTAAAAGAGTAGTGAAAACAAAAGTTAAAAAAAAAAAATTTTATGGTTCAAAATCTATTTACTCCTCTTCTCAAATTCACATGGTAATTAAGATTATCGACTTGTGAAATTTTAGATCCAAAATTAATATCTAGCATGGATTTTGGAAGCTACACATAATTGAATAGGTACATCAGCTCTACATCTAAACAGAGCAAAAAAGAAGAGGTATTTTAGTATAGGAATAGTTTAAATGAGGTCCTATTCACATGTAATACTCATTGAAAAATCTACATACATATGGATTTATTATTTAAAATTAAAACACATCCTAGGTCACTTCAGATGCATTTGCACTTTGGATCATGATTTTGCAGCCAAAATAAAATAGTGCATTTTTTATGATCCGAGAAGTGAATATTAACAAATGGTCCAACAAAACTATATAAAATGTTTATTTTTAATGCTTACAATCCTTTTTTTTTCCCATATTCATGGTAGAGGTGGTCCACATCATCAAAGAGTAAACCTATAGATCCTAAACCATCTCTAAAATGGATTTTAGTTGGAAAGGATGTATGAACAAAACCCCCTCCTTTTTGTTTTTTTTATGGACATGGTTTCTATGAGTCCATATAGAAATGAGTCACCTCTTAAAAATCTATTTTTCAGATGGATTTTTTGACTTAATTTTTAAAGACATGTAATCTCTAACTTGGAGATCATGAATATGAAAAAATAAATAAAATTTAAAAAATAGAAATATTAATTCCATTGAGAAAACATTTGGACCGATTAATTTCAATTGTTTTGAGATGGACCATCTATTATACCTTTGGGAGGGCAGATGAAACAATTTCTTATTTTTTATTTTTTATGAATATTATTTGCTTAAAGAGCTTATGCGTCGACGAAAGACACTAAACTTTTTGACTTTCTCAAGACCAATCGAATAAAACTGGGAATATTCGACTTTAATGACATTAGCATTTAATTTTCTTTTCCAAAATAAAAATATTAAAGCGATTTGCGAATATACTTCCATTTCAGTAAAGGCAAACTCCAAGATATAAAGCCCTCCCTTTGCAAATTATTGATAGCAAAGACAAAAAAAGCGCAGAATTTTCCAAACATTGGTCAATAGCGAGCTCAAAATAACAAACGAAGCATAGTACACGTGTTGCACTCTTTTTTTTTCCTTTTTTTGACAATTGGGTATACGTGCGTTTTGTTTTTTGTTTTTTTGTTTTTTTGAAATTTATCAAATTACAATAACGTTAAAATTTTAAAAGGTGCGGTTTCTACGACCTTAAACAATTCAATTAAGGCGCACCTCCAAATTTTGTAATTTTGGTAAAAAAACAATTTTTAGGATTATCTCAAAATCTATCTTCATACCTAATTATAAAATTTCAAACTAAAAAAATGGTTAAAATCAACTACATCTATAAACATATGAAAAACTTGAAAAATGGACCGTCTGGATAATATATAGTAAGATGCACTATTTTCAAGACTCAAATTATTATTATTATTATTTTTCATTCTTATACATCTCGATGTCGAGATGATCAACAAGAGATTTTTTCAACCTTAAAACAACCTTTTTCCAATAAATTTTTGATGTGCATATGTAATTCTACATGTTAAGGTGGCATAAACTTTTTCCAATTTTAAATAGTTCAACTTCTCGTTTTATTTCTATGAAAAGGTTTTTCTAAATTTTCCGTACCAGAAAACCTAAGTGGAGAAAGCTAAGTAAGGGTGTCGCAAAGCCCGGCACGGGCCAGGAAAAAACTAAGTGAAGCAAAAATTCGACCAGGCTAGCATTGGTCCTAGCCCAGCCCTCGGGCCACAGTTTTGTGGTCCAGGACCAACATTTTTTGGGCCAGGCCAGGCAAGGCCAGGCAGACCGGCCCAATGCCGTCATAACAAATGGGCATTCACAAGAAAAAAAGAAAAAAAAAAAAAAGAGAGCATTTTTGGCAATTTTCCTCGGGTAGAGAAGGACAAGCGAAATGGAGCACTTTCTGGCGATCATTATCACGAAGGGTATTAAGGTCATTTACCGCCTCAATAGAGTAAAAAGCCCGAAGAAAAACTGGCACTCTCAATCAGCTATAATTGGGGGTTCTAAATCATTTGACTATACAACAAAATAAAGAAAGGCTAAGAAACCAAACGAAAACATACTTCTACTACCAAACGAACAATTGGCTGATCGCATTTTGTACAATCAGAGCTATAAAGTATCAATCTTAAAAACGCATGCGCAAATAGGTGATCCATCTAAAAACAATTATAATTAATGGTTTAAATGTTTTTTTAATATAATTATTATTTTTAGATTTCAAATTTTGTTTATTTTTTCATATTCATGATCTCCATGTTCAAGATTATATATTTTTTAAAAATGAAGATCAAAATTATATTTAAAATATATATCTATTGCCAAACCCTCCCATCTAAATTAACCACAACTAGGGGCATTATTGTCCAATTTGCAAAGTATTAACTGGTTGAGAAAACCAAAACCAATGGCTAGGGGCATAAATGTCATTTTCCTCTTGCAAAAACGTATCCATTAGGGCAGGTGACCAGAAGCAAAGGGCATTCATTATCGTCATTTAACGCCTAAAAAAAGAAATCATGGAATCGATAAAATACGAAAACGAAATAAAAGGTCCATACCAAGGGCAAAATAGTAATATGCTTCTGCAAAAAACATCAGAGGCGTGGAGGAGGGGTAGAGAGAGGAGAGAGAAAGGGAGAAGAAATGGTACCTTGTATCGATTAACGAGGTTCTTCCACTTACACTTGCACTGTTCAGGGCTTCTTCTGTAACCTCTCTCTTTCATCTTTGAAGCCACGGCCTGCCAGAGCGTCTTATTCCTCTTTGTCTGTGTAAAATCCCTTTCGAGCTCAGCCCTAATGGCTATGAAATCCCTTGTTTCTTGATGGCTCCATTGAGGGACGCGATCGTCTTTCTTGCTCCACAAACCACTTGAATTCACTGGATCTCGAATGGAGATTGGGGCTTCTCTGGCCATGGCCGCCGCTTGATTAAGTTGCAGGGGAAGAGAGGACATGATGCTCATGCCTAAGGCTTCGCTCTCTGCACTTCCTATCATCATTTTCTCTCTCTATTTAAATCTTATTTCAGAGAGAGAGAGAGGTAGATGCGAAGAGCTTGGAGGATTTGCAGAGTGGAGACGCAGGTAGAGAGAGAGAGAGAGAGAGAGGGCGAATGGAAGAGAGAGAATGCAGTGGAAGGGGGATCTCATTTACGCTACAGAGACGCGCAGGAGTGGTTGGTTTTCCAGACAGGACAGTGACGATTCCAAAAGGGGTTTGACGAGAGGGATAAAGGGCGCCCTGAAAGAGAGTGACAAGTTTTTGCTGCTTTGTAAGAGAGAGATAAATAGTTTAAGAGAGGGAGAAACAGTTTCCATTTACAATCAAACATTGCTTGACCTAGATGGATAATCAATTTATTTTTTAAATCAAGGATGATGGTGGTTTTATTGTATAAATGGTTCTTTTTATATACATTTTTTTAACTTAATAAGGTTAATAACATTATTTTCCATTGGGAGATTAGAGAAGGAATCTTATAACCTGATAAGTAATTTTTAACTAATTAATGCCACGATATTAAAAGGGTGCCCACTTTATACTATAGAAGCAAGGCACATTGAAATTTTGTGAAGATGTAGGTCTGATTTTAGAAATCTTATAATAACTTAAAAATCCTCGTTGCACCCTAATTCTAAAATTTAAAATTTTAAAAATAATGCAAATCAAGGAGATCTATAAACACTTAGAAAAATCTTGACAATAAACGGTCCAAATAATTTGTTACAAGATGTACTAATTTTAGGATTTGATTTATTTATTTATTTATTTATATCCATACATCTTAACGTTGACACGATCAATTGAAATGTTTTCTAACTTCTCCATACTCTTTTCTACTGGATTTTTTATGTGCACCTTACTTCTACAGGCTTTAATTGCTTATATTTAAAACAACAAAAGTACCTCTATTATTTGCTATAATGTATCTTTTATTTTTAACGTTACTATGAAAATACATCGAAGTTTATGTTATTACATGTATGTCCAATTCTTTTTCCTTCGTAACATTTTTTAAAAATAATATAACAGCCTTTTTCGGTTTTTCAAGAACTAAAATATTTAATTTTTTTGGTTCTAAAAAAAAAAACATAACTGCCCTTTTTGGTTTTTGGTTTTTCATAACTCAATTCGGTATTTTAAAAACCAAAATAGGTTCGTCCCAAAACCCCCTTCTTCATGTGCCTCTCTCTCCTCTTCTGCAAAACAGTGCACCCGCTGTCTCCTTCTCCCTCTCCTCCATCTGTCTTTAGAGAAATCCAACTCCTCTGCTGCAAAATAGTGCACACCGAAATATGATCGATTTTTTGGATGTTATTTGACAGATTTTATATATAAAGTGAAGGCATGTATTGAAAAATGTGATTTGAGGATCGATTTTAAAATTCTAAATTGTATAAAATATCCATTTAAGGTTTCACATTTGAGTAATGAATTGTTAGTACGTGCACTATTATCGAATTTCGTTGTCAATCTGATTGAAGGATATTAGTTGATGGAATGAAATACAATGATTTTAGTGGATGCATATTTTTGCATTATTATGAAATGTTATTAGATAGGTAAACGATAATGCCATTATTTCTTTGTTTTTGGGATCTTATTATGAGCTTTCTAAGCTCAATGAACACTTGTTAAGATGCTCAAGCAACACTTTTCGCTACAAATATCTTTTAGTTTTGCTAGAAGAACTTCCCCCAATTCAAAAGCGTTCTAATTTCGTTATAAATGTGTCGCTATATTAGTGTCAGAAGTAAAAAATTAATACGTTTTTCATGTGCCTATTCTCCTTCATAGGTTTTCCTCACGGTATTTATTTTAATGTTTTTCCGTGTTGATTTTTATTTAAGGGTTTTGTTATGCTGCACCACTTGTTGGTAAATACTTTTAAAGTTTTCAACATGTTTGGACATTTAAAGAATCTTATACTATAGTATAGTAGTTTTTTGTCTAGAAGTATTTTAAGTAATTAGTCAAAAAAAAAGTAGAAATTTCTAATAGAAACAAAAACATTTTATTATACATCATCGAGATAGTGTGTGACATCACCTACAAGATACATTAATTATCTTTTAACTACTAATAGAATGACATTATTTGCTTATATAAATATCCATTCTACTCTTCTAAACCACTAAAGTGTTTGTACTTAAAAGTAGCAGCCTTTTAGAGGGAACGACACATATAAGCGAGGGCTACAACACCTCAAGTATAGTTGCCCGCTTACTTTTAAGTTCAAACACTTTAGTGGCTTGATGAAGAACCGAAACTTTGGTTGATGAAGAACCTAAATTGTGGTTCATATTACCAATCTATCTGCCTTGACAATTGTATCAAATATTTCATTTCCCATTGCTCGATCATGTTCATAAATTAGGCAAATGCCTAAGGCATCTTAGTATATAGAGTCAATGGCATATCACTTGATTTTCTCTCCTACCCCTTTCCCAGCATCCAACACAGACCGGGGTGCCCAACTCTCTCAGTCCTTTACTGTCCCATTACACCTCATTATGTTTCCTCCCTTTCCTTTTCCATTCAATAAAATACAAAGAAGTGTAAAATAAATTTAGAGTGAGTGACTAGTAATAAAATTCAGAGGAACGGTAATAACCCTCAAGAGAGAAATATCTTAAGAGAAAAAATTAAGAGAGGTCCCGATTGGGTCACCATTTTTAGGGGCATGTCCACTTAGTAGTTGACGGCATGCCACTTACTGAGAAAATATTTTAGAGAGAGACAAAGGAGGAGCCTTTTTGTCAATCTGACACAATTTTCAAAGTATGCATATTGGTATGCTCATCAAATACATCACTCACCAATGCCAACTCTGATAATTCTCATTCTCAACTATTATAAATGTTATTGGGAAGATAGCATCATCAACATCTATGACAATGGTGTACAACAATATTCCTAGATATTCCCCTTTAAAAAAATGTCCCATCAATACCCAATACTGGCGTGCATCCATTAATAAAACCTATGATACAATGACGAAAGGTAATAAATAGTCATTTAAACCTACCATCATTATCTGTGTGGATGCGAACTTCAGTTCTGGGGCTGGTTCTTCGGAGCTCCTCCATGTATAAAAAGGAGGTCACTGTATTTTTGGTCATGTGACTCATCTACCATCTCCCTAGCAACCTCTTTGCAGCACCAAGCGTACATGTAGGAAAGCCTGATACCGTGATCGCGCTAGATATCGTTTTTAATATCTTTTGCTGTAATCTTAGGTTGGCCATGAATACGAGCTTTAATCATCTTTGCCACCCAATCACTTTGAGTTAGTGGCTTATGAACCTTCTTCATTGGACCACTATATGTATGCTCATTAACCATGGACTTCACTCTGAAGTATGTTGTATTGCCAACTCTTAAGCATCACACTTGTCATACAGAGCCCTCTGCTTTGCAACTCGCCTAAACCTACAACTCCTCTCTTTTGACAAAATTAAAAATAAAATTATTGTGGATAACAAAATCAACTAGATGATGTCGACATTCATTAATACTTTTCAAGTATTAGTCAATTTCCAAAATGACCTCTTTACTAATTCCTCTACATGTGCTCTCAATTGGTTCAATATCCTCCATATCATGCTCTGGTGCAACTTCAACTCGTTTTCTATTTGATCGGACACCACTTGGTTACGCCCTACGACGATTCAATTAAAATAAATTAGAGATAAAAGTGTAAATTATACAAGTACCTATTCCTTATAGATGTACCATCACCGTCAGATTTTGCCATTCGGAATTTCATTGATCTTCGCTCCGGCCCCATATAATATACATATATATCATCACTTATGTCAATCAATTCCAGCCTATTAGATAGACTCTTGCTGTAATACATAATAGTCAACTTTCTTGGCTCACATGATGTCAAATTCCCATAATGACTTTTTAGTTGCTCTAAAGAACTATTTCCATGGTACTTAGCTGCAATCTTAAATTTTCCCCATTTGGAAAAAAGACTTCTATTATTTGGGTTCATCTCAAAAGGCCCCCCTATCGAAAACCAATTGCACTATCATTTCTGATGTATTAAATGAATATCAAAGTTTGAGTTACAGAGAAGAAATAAAATCAATCATAAAAAAATATGGGATATTTAAAATATATAACTGTTCATAAAATATGTGTTTTACATATAAGATTTGGCAAGTTGGCCTCGCCCATAGAGGAAGATTGAGTAATATTATATACTAAGAGATTAATCATATATTAAAAGTAAATCAATTATTCGATCCAATATTTATCCAAAAAATATTCACTTTAAAGACAAATAAAGGCAATAACCCGGTGTTGGTCCCGCCTAAGTAGGGTCTCTAGAGGGATGGAATGGAAACGATCCTAATATTTGACTAATGCACAAAGTGGCCGCCCTCAGAACTCGAACCCATGCTCTCACGCTAGCTAACCTAGCCTTTTACCGTCATACCTAGTGACGGGCCCTTACTTTAAAGACAATTAACAACTACCAATACAAATACAAAATATTGCATTAATTCAATCAAATTAAATCAATAGTTAGAATAGAGCAAGAGTAAGAAATGTACCAATTACATACAGTTAAAATTCAATTAAAGAAGGAATCCACATAGTCCTACTCGTCATGAGAGTGAGACGGAGAGCAAATCCGTTCAAGATCACAGGTTGGAGAGGGAGTCTGTGAGAGGGTGAGTGGTAAAGTAGCAGAGAGACAAACTTTGTGCCTAAGAAAGATGAATGCTCGTAGTGTTAGTTCGTGGGAAGATTAATGCGAAACTTTTTGAATTTTTAATAATAAAAAATTTAATATTTTCGCTTATTGAAATATCGAAAGTCTAATTAATTCAATCTTTCAAAAACCGAAATTTTAAACATTTCGGTTCTTGATAAATTGAAAAGGATAGTTTTGTTATTTTTTTAAAAAAAAAATTTATGAAGCGAAAAAATGGGTATACATATAATAATGAAAACTTCACAGTATTTTCGTAATAGCGTTAAATATAATGGATATATGCATTATTTTATCAATATTTATTGGTGAGGTTAAGGTAAGTCCTTGGACTTAGGGACTCGGGTGTCCACCCTTTCAAAATTTACCCTAAGATGGATTTATCATTCAAAAATTCCATAACACTCTATTCCTCAAATCACGAATTTGAAAAACATAAAAAAAATAAAATAAATTGAACTTTGAAAATAGTCTATCTCATGCTAAATGTTTTTTGGGGATCACAACATTTCTATCATTTTTAGAGTTCCATGTCCATGTATCGTAGGGGACAATGAATTTGCCAAAATTTGGATGTATCTTTAGTCATCATCATCAAAATCTTTTCCCAATTATTTGGAGTTAG